TTTTTAAAAATGCTTCAAGTACTTTCTCAAAGAAGAAAATAGAATAGATAACAATAACTACAGCATCCAATTGATGGAAATTATATTATTATAATTTCATCCAGTGCTCATTACTCAATGGCTATCTTCATGGATGTCATTGTTGAGACTATGATATGCATGGCTTTATTATTCTATTTATTTATTCATTCTTGTACTGGGGATTAAACCCATGGCCTGTGCACTGAGCAACATCCCTAGCCCCTTTTTTACTTTTTATTTTGAGATAGGGTCTAACCAGATTGCTAAATTACCCAGGTCGGACTCAAACTTGTGGCCCTCCTGTGCCCCCACTGAACCTGGGTGTGTGGCCTTATTTAACCCTAACAATGATGCCTGAAGTTAGGTATTATTCTACCCTTTTTCTGGGTGGCGAAGCGGAGGCTCAGAGAGGTTGGGTTCTCAACCCTAGGTCACACAGCCCCAGATGCTGAGTTGCTCCAAGCCCCGGGAAGGGACACCAACAAAGATGGGGACGGTGGTGTCCAGGAAGGCATTGCCAGATCTGTCAGCTGCTCCATTTACTTAGTCAGCATGACCATACACCTGGGTCCCCAGCCATTCCTGAACAGAGAGATCTTACCCCAAAGCCTTCTCCAGTGGAAAGGAGGTCATTGAGAATTGGGTGTGGTTTCTAAGCCAATGCTCCAAAAGCTGGGTGTGCACAGGGACCTGGGGCAGGGCCTGAGAAGCTGCGTTGCTAACAGCTCTCGAGTGCTGTCGCTGCCCCTGCTGGTCCTCAGACACACTTTGAGAAGCAAGGGCCTGGGAGCTCTGAACCCTGTCCTCGATGCCCCGTAAATGCTGAGCGATGTTGGGCTGCTCTCTGGCCCTCTCTGAGCCTTAGTATCTTTCCCTGATCAATGGGAGCATTGGTTCTGCTCCCCTGGAACACTCTCCAAAGAATAAGGGGTAAGGGTGGCGCTAGACATTGTGGGGTGAGGCTGCCCCCAGGTCCCGGGGAGCCCGTGGTCACCAGGTACCACTGGGGTGGGTGGGGGCGGGGATGGTCCTGAACCGCAGTGAAATTCAGCAAGAGGAGACAGAGGCGGTGGAGAGGCGGTGGCTGGCAGGCGAAGCTTCCGTTCATCACGGAAATGGCCCATTTGCAATGATCGGCTGCCCAGGTGTTAATAACGCTAATGGCATAGGAAGGGTAAACTTGGCCACTCGGCTGAACAGGAGAAATATGCAGAGAAGTACTCTGGTTTCCATAAATCAGCCGTGTGCGGCACTACGAGGGAGGCAGGACTTAAAATTCCAGTCAGGAGATGGGTATTCTCATAATCGGAGCTGGAGAGGTAATTTATTCTGTTTATATCTTTTTACGGCACGACAGGACTTGGGAGCCAGAGCTCGCTGCAGCCATTCTGCATTTTAAATATTAGTCCTCAGTGCAGGGGGCCAGGCCTGGGGCTCTGGGGGCCTCATGTCGGGGCAGGGGTGCAAGGCCTTGGGGAGCAGGCACGGAGGGGCTGGAACGCAAGGTCCAGCTGTCTGGGGTCTGCGGGAGTTACGGCCCAGGGGCAGCAGGGGATGGAACGGCGCCCTCCCCTCACCTGGAGTCAGAGAACACGGCCAAGGCTTGGGCAGCCTTCTCGCCTGTACACCTTGGAGCATTTCCTGCCTCTTGGAAGTCTTTTATTTTAAAATGAGAGCAAATGCAAGTGACGAGGAGACGAGCAGACTTATTGATGGGGGAGGAGAGGGCTGGGCCGTGTGGGGCAGAAAGGACCACGGGGGCACAGCGAAGGTGGAGGGTCCCATGCCCTTGGCCTTGGTGATTTCAGCTGTGCCCTTTGCCCTTCTGGCTGGCCTGGTTTAACCTCAGGGAGGCATTAAATGCCATCCAGCGAAGTTGCTACCAGGAAGAATTAGCATTCATCGCACACTGTCTTAAAGGACCCCTTTTCATGGCAGCTGAATTCCATCCATCCTTCTGTCCATCCATCTATCCATGCAGTCACTAGGCAGCTGTGCCGGGCTCTGTCCTGAGCTTGAGGGCAACACAGGCTCTAGAAGGAGCAATCTTTGATTTGAAACCTGCCTCTGGCCAGATGTGGTGGCCCACACCTGTAATCCCAGCCCTCTGGGAGGCTGGGGCAGGAGGATCACAAGTTTGAGACCAGCCTAGGCGAGTTAGTGACTTAGTGGGACCCTGTCTCAAAGTAAGAATATAAAAATGGGCTGGGGATGTGGCTCATTGTGAAGGTACTGGGTTCCATCCCCAGCACCGCAAAACCAATCAACCAACCCTGGCTCCCCTGCTCTGTGTCCCCTGAGCAGCTCACTTTGCCCCCAAGGCCTCGGGCTCCTCCTCTGGAAGGGCTGAGGCTTAGAGACACCAGAGCTGAGGTTCTCCTGCTCTTTTAGCCTGTGCCTTCCTGTCTCCTCCGATCAGACTTTGCAGTGGGCCTTCTCTTCCCAGACACTCTTGGGGAACTGCAAGGAGCTCATGGAGCAGGGTGCACTGGGGCCAAGGCGGCCTCTTCCTGCTGTCACTGTTCAGGCAGCTGGGGCGCATGCAATGAGGACTGAGCCCAGGACCCGGATTTCCTGGCCCTCGGCCACAGGCTGTTATTTCTCCTCAGTCCTCACCAGGCCCTGTGGGTAAAATGAGGTCTCGAGCCCATTTCATAGTAGCGCAAACTGAGGCTCAGAAGGGTGACACGGTGACCAGCCACCAAGGTCCCCAGGCCACATCCAGAGCTCCTGCTCGGCCTGCCTCCTGCAGACTGAAGCCGTGGCGCATGCAAGGCTGTGTGTATGTGCGATCCGTACAGACTGCGGCTGTGGGCCCCATGTGCTTGCGTGGTGCACGTGTGTGCAGCGCTATGGACGGTCACACGGCTGTGTCTCTGTGTGGGGGTACGCACCTGTCCCACGGCTGGGGCATGCGTGCGAGTGTATGCATCCACGTGCCTGTCACACCTTCTGCGCGTTGCTTCTGTGTGCACGTGCGTGCCCCGTGTCTGCCTTGTGTGCGCGTGCGCAGGGCGTGTGCCTGTGCCCCGAGGAGGCAGAGGGCGCCATTCTACTGTGAGCTCTCGCCCATCCCCCACTCTGCTGCCACCACTTCTGGGCCCGGCGTCCAGTCCAGAGGGGAACCCGGACTGCATGAGGCTTGGCCCACACAGGGAGGGGGTCTCCCTCCTACAGCCTCGGTGGCCCCTTCTTCCCCCCTCCCCCGTCAACCTAACGTAGCCTGTTTTGGGGTCACCGAGGGTGGGGTGAGTCCACCGACTCCCAGCTTCCCTCCGGCGTCGCACTCTGGCGGAAGTTCTCCGAAATCCACACGAGTCCAGGGAGGGGCTGGGATGGGGTCCGCCTGGCGGATCCTCCCGTGGCCGACCGGAATCCATTGCAACCAGGGCGCCGAGTGGAAGAGACCCCCCCCCGTCCCCGTGGACTCCAGTCCGGGCTCTGCGTGACCTTGGGCAGGGCCCTCGACCTCTGCGAGCTCCCTGGCGGGACGAATGATACCTTCGGGCCAGGCTACAAGGTGCTCAGTCCAGCATGGCTGCAGTGGAGAAGAGCTGGAACTCAACTCAGACGTTCAACAATGGAATTGCCCCCCCAAAGGAAAAACTATCAAACCAAACCAAACCACAAGAGGAAGGGGCGCCCGTTCAGGCGCCTCTGAGCGGTGACCACGGAGCAGGACGCAGCTCCGAGAGCCCTCGCTGAGTCTGGAAGCTGCTGCAGAGGCGCCAGGGCACTCAGCACGGTGCGCAGAACGCTGGTTCTGGTTTCCAAGTGAAAAAGAAAACCGAAGAAAGAAGTCTAAGGGCATCAAAGCGCTTGATATTCCGCACGATGACATTTTCTTCCTTTTGTCTGAAATTTCTAAAATCTCCACAATGAGCAAGGAGCGTCGGTCTGCTAAAAACAAATGTGCTATAAGAAAAAGAAAAGAAAAGAAAAGGAAAGGAAAGGAAAGGAAAGGAAAGGAAAGGAAAGGAAAGGAAAGGAAAGGAAAGGAAAGGAAAGGAAAGGAAA